AGGTGTATGTTGGAACTTGTTTGACATGTTTGAAGGGAAATGGGACATTGCCCTCCAGCAATCAGGGAGGAGCAACCACCCTTGCTCAAAGTGGCATGCGTGTGTGTGTGTGTGTGTGTGTGTGTGTGTGTGTGTGTGTGGACCTCGATGCAGCTGAGGGGCCAGGTTGACAACTGCGCCATTAGGCAAGGGCTGTGCACGTAGCCTCTGCAATGCCAAGTTCCTAAGCTCTTCTTACCCCTGCCTACCTCATTCTCACCCTGTAGCCCAGGCTAGCCTGGACCCTACAATATACCCTAACCTAGAATCAAACTACTGATTCTTGTATCTCGTCTGCAGAATGCCAGGATTGTAGACGTGTGTCAGCTTTCCCGTTCTCGTGCCCATATTTGGTAAGAACAGAGCTCAGTCGCATGGTCTGCTGCAGGGAATGCGATGGAAGCAGCAGGAGAGAGTGAGCCTGTCAGTGCTTCCTAGTCACATTTCCTTCTCTTAGCTTTTCTACTAATCATGCGGCGTCCTGTCTGCGCTGCCAAGTGTGTGCTGTACTGTACAAAGAGTAACAATCGATCTGCAAACAGGCTTTGTAAAGCAAAGCGCCATGAGAGACACAGACAGTCCCACATTTTCTGAAGTACCTTTAAGTTTTTTTATACTTATGTACTTAACTTATTGTGTGTTTGCCTAATGAATGTGTCACATGGAGGTCAGAGGACAACGTAGGGGAAATCATTTATCTTTTCCCACTATGTGTGGCCCTGGGGATTGAACTCAGGTCATCAGGCTTGGTGGCAAATGCCGTCTTACCAAAGCCCTCTGAAATACCATGATCATTTTTTTGTTTGTTTGTTTGTTTGTTTGGAGACTGGGTCTCACCATGTAACCCCAGCTGTCCTGGAACTCACTCTGTAGACCAGGCTAGCCTTGAACTCAGAGAGATCCTCTTGTCTCTGCCACCCAAATCCTGGGTTTAAAGGTGTGTGCTCCAACAACTGACACGGTCATTCTTGACAGAACTATAGTTCATATTTACAATGAGATTATGCTCTGAAGTGACTTCAAACTATCTTAATTTAAAAAACTATAGTCTTTTCAATTAAACCTTCTCAATTAAAAAAAATTGTATGCATGTATGCGCACCAGATGCATGCCAGTGGTCGAGGAAGCCAGGGAGTGGCACTGGAGCCCCTACAGCTGACAGTGATTGTGAGTCGCCTGTTGTGAGCCCTGGGGGTGCTCGTGACTGATGAGCCATCTCTCCAGCTCTGTCTTGTCCACTTTACTAGTAAGGAAAAACACCCCCCCACACACACAAAGTAAGTAAGTAAATGAAGCTTAAGGAAAGAAAAACAGCCGGGCGGTGGTGGCACACGCCTTTAATCCCAGCACTCGGGAGGCAGAGGCAGGCAGATCTCTGTGAGTTCGAGGTCAGACTGGTCTACAAGAGCTAGTTACAGGATAGGCTCCAAGCTATAGAGAAACCCTGTCTCAAAAAACCAGGGGAGAGAGAGAGAGAGAGAGAGAGAGAGAGAGAGAGAGAGAGAGAGAGAGAGAAACAACAACAGTGCCTGCTCCTGCAGGGGCTAAGGCTGTGAGAGGTAGACTCTTGGACTTGGTGATAACGATTCTCAAATCTGCGTCACCGTATCAGAAGGGCAACCAAGAGATGGCTGGCTACGGCCATTCTCTTTACAGGTTGCCTTATGTCTCGTGCTGCGCAGTGTAATGGAACACTCTGTAACCATAAATGAGAGCCAAGCTTTGTTATTGCCATGGAAGCTAAGCCAAACGATATTGTCAAGTTAATACTTTATATGCTTTTAATTTTAATATCTCAAGATTAAATGACAGGGTGAAAGTACAAAATGTTGTGGTTATGTCTAGGTGTGTGACCTGGAGATTTAAGAAACACACCCTCTGGGCTGTCAGCTCCATCGGTAAGATTAAGGTGATAGCTCTTTTCATCATTGGCCATCAAGGGAGTTAGCACATGATTACATATAGTTTTTTTTAATATTGATTTTATTGAGCTCTACATTTTTCTCTGCTCCCCTCCCTTCGTCCCCATGCCCCTTCAATCCTCTGCCCTGATTCCCATGCTCCCAGTTTACTCAGGAGATCTTGTCTTTCTCTACTTCCCATGTGGACTATATCCACTTATGTTTCTTTTAGGGTCCTCATTGCTGTCTGGATTTTCTGGAATTGTCATTTGTAACCTGATTTTTCTTTGCTTTATGTTTAAAAGTCACTTATGAGTGAGTACATATGATATTTGTTTTTCTGGGTCTGGGTTACCTCACTCAATATGATGTTTTCTTGCGCCATCCATTTGCCTGCAAATTTCAAGATGTTATTTTTTTTCTGCTGTGTAGTACTCCACTGTGTAAATGTATCATATTTTCTTTATCCATTCTTCGGCCGAGGAGCATTTATTTCTAGTTATTTCTAGGTTCTGATTATGACGAATAATGCTGCTATGAAAATATCTGATCACAAGTCCTTGGGGTATGAGCATCCTTTGGGTATATACCCAAAAGTGGTATTGCTGGGTCTTGAGGTAGGTTGTTTCCTAATTTTCTGGGAAATTGCCATACTAATATCCAAAGCAGTTATACCAGTTTGTACTCCCACCAGCAATGCAGGAGTGTTTCCTTTATCCCACAATCTCTTCAGCATAAGCTGTCATCAGTATTTTTGATCTTGGCCCTTCTGACAGGTGTAAGATGAAATCTCTGAGTGATTACACATAGTTTTAAAGAGAGTTCTCAGCACATGGAAATAGGCAGGAAATTTTGTCATAAATTTTCCCAATTGCCTGTGTCTCCTGAGTGTTAGACATCAGTTACAATTGTCCTTTTCCCCTGTTTATTCATTAAAACTTTATTATAAAGAGCTCGTGGGCTGGAGAGATGGCTCAGAGGTTAAGAGCACTGGCTGCTCTTCGAGAGGTCCTGAGTTCAATTCCCAGCAACCATATGGTGGTTCATAATAGGATCTGGTGCGCTCTTCTGGCAGAACACTGTATACTTAATAAATAAATAAATAAATAAATAAAATCTTAAAAAAAGAGAAATTACTGGGGTGTTTAAAAAAAAAGAAGAACTCACATATGAGCAAACATTCATGGTGTGCACAAGCTTCTGCTACAGCCAGGACAACTCTATAACGCTCGGGACTCCACATCACCAAATTCCAGGAAATTCATGACAAATTTGGAACTAGTAAGATCTGTATGTCCTTCTTAATGACCCATTGTCCACTGGCTATTTTCAGCCCTTCCCCATCACCTAAAATTTACCCTTCCTTGTTCCTTCTGCATGCTATACTGTACTCACACATATACTTGTTCACATGTTCATGTGTATGCTATAGGCTAAGGTAAACTTGTTCACATGTTCATGTGTATGTTGTAGGCTAGGGTACACTTGTCCACATGTTCATGTGTATGTTGTAGGCTAAGGTACACTTGTTCACATGTTCATGTATATGTTGTAGGCTAGGGTACACTTGTTCACATGTTCATGTGTATGCTGTAGGCTAGGGTACTCTTGTTCACATGTTCATGTGTATGTTGTAGGCTAGGGTACACTTGTTCACATGTTCATGTGTATGTTGTAGGCTAGGGTACACTTGTTCACATGTTCATGTGTATGTTGTAGGCTAAGGTATACTGTTTACATGTTCATGTGTATGTTGTAGGCTAAGGTATACTGTTCACGTGTTCATGTGTATGTTGTAGGCTAGGGTACACTTGTTCACGTGCTCACATATATGTTGTAGGCTAGGGTCTGCCTATGAGGGAGAACACAGTATTTTTTCTTTCAGAGTTTGTGATTTTGTTTAATATCAGACATTCTAAATTCATCTATTTTCTTGCAAATATTGTGATTTCCTTTTTCTTGAGAGCAGAATAGTTTTCTAGCTTATACATGAATCAAATTTTTATTATCCATTCATTTGTTGATAGACAACAAGGTTGATTTCAATTCTGCATTATTGAACAAAGTAGCAATAACCTCGGGTCTGCAGACATCTGTGGTAGGGTGTGGAGTTCTTGGAGATGTGACAGGAGAGAAATAGCTGAGTCCAAACTGATTTCCTTAACAGTTCTGTTCATTGGTCCTTTCTCCCCACACCCTCCTCACCATTTGCTGTTGCTGTCAGGTTTCTTGATGGCAATCATTCTGATTGCGGTGAAGTGGGGGTCACAAAGTAATTTTAATTTGCATTTCACCAATAGCTATGGGAACTGAACTTTTAAAAATGTTATTGGTAATTTGTGTTTCTTTGTTGAAAACCTCACTCAAGTCACTTGCCCAATGATTGGCAGTTTCCTTCGTACTTACTTTCTGCAAGTCTTTGTAAATTCTGGGTATTAGCCCGTCTGAAGTGTGGCTGGATAAGATTTTTCTCTCACCCATGGGCGCTGTGGTCAGCTGATGGTTTCCTTCACTGTGCAGAGAAGAGTCATTTCCTGTAGTCCCATTGGTCGATACGTGGGATACTTCCTGTGCTACGGTGGCTCCATTCAGAAAGCTCTTGCCTATCTTAATATCTTGGCGGGTAATATTCTTAAAAATCCTGGTGTGCCCCCCAAGCGGCCTGCCCAAGATTCCTGGGCAGCGGGCTCACAGAGCAGCCGCGAGCGGCAGAGCGGTGGCTCATCCCAGACAGGCTGGTCCTGCCATGCAGCCGGGAGAGTCACCCAAGCGGGCGGGTGAGCAGGCAGTGGATAAAAGGCTTACAGTACATAGTTGTTATGAGTCTGTAAGGACAAACAAGTCCAGGAGTATTGGGAGGCAATATTAAATGAAATGATATGAGTTTATGAAAATAAGCCCAGGAATGTTAAGACGCAATATTAAGTGTCACACACAAAATGAAACTAAAAAGCATGAAGCAATGTGTGTAGTGGTGATAAGAGTTTGAGCTGGTGAACAAGTGTGACGTAACTATATGATAAGCAGACATGTGTGTTAATCTAAAAAGAAAACAAGTAATATAGCCACAAATAGTATAAAAACTTGAGGCTCACGACCAGGAGACATTCTCAAAATGACTTGCTAGGCATGCTGTCAGAGTGGTCATAGAGAATCCAACGAACCAGCAACTTCACAGCTGAGACCGTCCAAGAGCCAGAGAACTAGCTCTTGCCTGCGGATCAAGACTTGCTGATCCAGAGGTCTACATCGAGAGCCACGGACCATTATCAGGTCGTACACACCAATGCCTCAGTAAGATAGGATAGAAGACCTTGCCTAGGACACATAGGAACCCTTGCTGAATGTGTGATGTGATTGAAGGTGTGATGTGATTGATTGACTAGGATTGTTATAAGTTTAATGTTTACTTATATCTGCCATAAGAATAATTAGAGATTTAAATGATTGTTATAGTTTTGATGTTTGCCCATACCTGCTAACAATCGGAGATTTGACTATTGGCATAATAAACTTGTTCCTAGAACAAACACTGTGGTCATCCTGAGTATTTACTTGCAGACCTCTAAGTAAGGGCAGAATGCCCGCTCAGGAATAAGGCTCGCGACAATAGTAAATAGACATAAAGCTAAACATTTATTACTTAAAGGAGAGAAAGAGAGAGACAGAGAGACAGAGAGGAGACACGTGTGTACACGCCAAGAGAGAGAACAGAAAGAAAGATTAAAGATGGCGATGAGAGGTCAGAGGTTGTTGGGAGTGGGCGTGGCTTGTCCCTTAAAGGGACCAGAGATCAAAGGAATAACAGAGGGTATCCCTAGTATGTTTTTTTCTAGAAGTTCTAATGTTTCTGATTTTGTTTTGTTTGGGCTTGGTTTTTCAAGATGGGATTTCTCTGTGTAACAGCCCTAACTGTCCTGGAACTTGCTCTGTAGACCAGGCTGGCCTTGAATTCACAGAGATCTGCCTGCCCATGCCACCGTAGTGCTGGGGTGTTTCCATTTGTAAATGAAGGTCTTTTATCTATTTTAAATTGTTTTTTTTTTTTTGTATAAGGGAAAAGATAAGAATCTAATTTCTTTCAGGTAGGAAGCCAATTTGTTACTATTTGTTTTTGTTTTTATTTTTGTTTTCCCCAGTTTTTCTGCTTTGTCAAAAATTAAGTGAGCATTGTTATGCCCAGAGTCAGGACCCCAAAGACCACCAAGAGATCAGCTCCAATGCAAAAACAAAGAGTCTTTTTTTTTTTTAACTATTCCAGCATGCTGGGCCCGACCATCCTACACAAAGGCAAGATGAGGACAACCTGAGAGGGAGGTGGGGCTTCTTTTAAGGTTTACTGAAAGATTGTCTAAGGAAGTTAGGTCATTTTAGATGTGACAAATGACTTAAGCAAGTGGAAATCATATTAGTACATTCTAATTGAGTAGGGCTAGTCAGGGGCTGGTCAGAGCTGCAGTATTCCAATTTTGGACGGGCCTGCGGGCCTGGACAAGTCCCAGCCCTGTCCCAGAGTTGCTGTGGGGCTGGTTCAGGCCTGGCCTACTACTGCCTATACCAGTTCTCCTCCTTGCTGTTGAGGGTGTCGGAAATTGGTTGTCTTTTATGCGTGACTTTTCCTCAGAAACTGATTGCTCGGTCTCAGGAAACAGAAACTGAGGCGCGAGAGACTCTGAGAGAAGACTGAGCAGCCTGTCATGGCATCCGCTCGGTCCTTTCAGGCATAGCTATGGCATTTTATTCTGGGTCCTCCATTGTATTTATTTCCTCCCACTCACTTTATCATTTGAGACCAGATATTGTAATGCCGGCAGCTGGGTTTTACAGTCAACGGTATCTCACGGTTCTGCGGGAATTCTCAGACTGCTTTTTCTGAACCGCATGGACTGTTTCTTCGGGATAAGTTGTAAAACTGCTAAGGTCTGGAGAGGTTTTTGTTTGTTTATTTTATTTTATGTTATTTTTCTGAGACAGGGTATCTCTGTATAACAGATCTGGCTGTCCTGGAACTTGTTTTGTAGACTAGTCTGGCCTTGAACTCACAGAGATCCTCCTGCCTTAATCCCAAATGCTGGGATTAAAGGTGTGCACCATCACCTGGCATTGTTTTTATTTTTTGCAAAAAAGATTATGTGTGTAGTCAGTTTGCCTGCTCCCTGCTTGGGTGCTGGGGAGGAAATCTGGGCCCTGCATATGCTCACCAAACACTGGTCAATTGTTAGAGGAGGTTATTCATGGTTTCTTTCTTAAGTCATTTTATCTAACAATATTTTCTAGGAATATGTCTGTGATTTTCCTTTAGATAGATTTCTTTCAGATAGGGTGTCATGGGGATCACACTGCTCTTGAAGTCACTAAGAACCAGAGCCTGACTTTGAGCTCTATCTTCTGCCTCTGCTTCTTGAGTGCTGAGGCACCACCGGGCTGTGTCTTCCATTTGGAAATAAAATCATTCCTTAATGAGAAAATGTATATTTGTACATTTATCCAACAAATTCCTTGTTTGGGTTCTGTGTACTGAGGATGCAACCTCCTTTTTCTCACCTCACTACAGGGCAGGAATACGGCCTGCGGCTGTGAGTGTTATTTGTGAGGGGTGGTGGTGGGAGGGCTTCAATGTCGGCACTGCGAGCAGAGCTGAGAGACTGGAAACTCTCATTCCCGTCCTCTAGAGAGCAAGCCGTCTTCCTTTGTAAGAAAGCTGGTTTTAAAATCTTTTTTATCGCAGGTTTACATTGTGAAGGCACCTGCTGCCAATCCCGAGGACCCAGGTTGGGTTCCTGTAGCCAGCACAGTGGAAGGAGAGAAAGGACCCTCGAAATTGTCTTCTCACCTCCACCCTTGTGTTGTAGCATGGGAGTGACCTTTCCCACATACACAAAAACAGTCATAAATAGTTTTACTTTTATTACATCTTATTTATTTTGCTTCATGCATGTATATATGCTTAATGTGTTTAAATCGTATTCACCCCCCTTCATTACCCTCTTTCATTCTCTCCTAGTCCTGCTGAACTCCTTTCTCTTAACTAGTCCTCGTTCTACAACTGTGTGCCTGTGTGTGTGTGTGTGTGTGTGTGTGTGTGTGTGTAGAGAGAGAGAGAGAGAGAGAGAGAGTGAGAGGGAGACAGAGAGAGAAAGAGGGAGACAGAGAGAGAAAGAGAGAGACAGATTTAGTGAGTTCCATCAGGGATACTTACAGGAGTACACATGAGGGTTAGTTACAGGCGCTGGGCACCTCCAGTGGCTCCCACTAAAAAGGATGTCTCTCCTGTCTTCCCTCAGTGACCATGAACTGCCTGTAGATCACCAGGCCTTGTGAGTCTCTCCCTGTCTCATGGCAGGATGTTGATAGGACCAGTCATGTGCAATGAAAAGTGTTTTGATATTTGAATGTCACCGCTCTGCGTTGAACCATGGAAACTGAGTGTTTGGCCAGAGCTGACTAAGAGCAACAGGACAGAGGAGGTGTTGGGGTGTAGATGGAACCAAACAATGGTAACAACCTGAGACCACCCACAGGAGTGGAGCCTGCACCCTGAGACCACCCACAGGAGTGGAGGCTGCACCCTGAGACC